ATCAAGCTCTAATACTATGATATGATAAATTTGAAACTGGAAAATATGGTATTGCTCTTCATCTTTTTTATAGGAGATCGCCTTTCTCAGTTATCTTTTAAAATAGGGTTTTTCTCTTTTCTTTTTATAGGATGTCGCTTTTTATTTATAGGAATCTTTTTATTATTAACCCAATATAATATAAACTAATAGTGATATGTTAGTGTTAATTTTTATTTCTATAATCTCACCGTTCTTACAATAGATAAATATTTTTAGAAAGATATAAATTGTCTAATAACTAAAATTAAAATTAGACTGTAATCGAGGTTAACAAAATATATGCACGATACGCTCGCATGTGATTTTGACTTTTGCGCAATTAATGTTTATATCCATACACATATTTATGGAAACATTGAAGTATGTCTTTTATGATGCGGACATCAAGTCATCACCAACCATGGAGCACGGATCCAAGAGTCATGAAGTGGAGAACATGAAGCTGAGGAGAGCTAAAGAGGCATTCGAGTGGATTTCAGCCCAAATGGAGGTTGATATCAAACATTCAAGCTCAACCAACATTTGTAGAGCATACTCAACTCATCCAGGGTTCATCACGAAGAAGAATCACCCAAAAAAGAGTTCATATAAAGAAGATATTGAAGATACAAGTTGGAAGATCTTCAATGGACCCAATAGAGACATGCGAGTACTAATAAAATTATTCCGGCCAAACAAGATGAACAAAGCAACGATCCCAGATGTTTTGGAAACTTGATTCATCAGAGAACCGAGGAAAATTGGTTTCATGCCAAAATTCATTATGGTTTAAAAGTTATTCAACTTCTAAACCGTAGGATGCTCTGCTTACCTTATTTGGGAGCTGGCGAGTTTAATTACTTGCAAACCAAACTTTGGCGACTAGGAGAAATATCTAAGCATTCAGGAAACACATCTAACAATCCATGAGAATCAGGAAACATCTTACAATGCACCATCACTCACAGGATCAGGCGGATCCCGTTGCTTACAAACTTTCCATATCAAGACATGTTCACACTTGGAGTAAAGGAGCACCAACGGCTACTTCTTCAAAGCTACAACGTTTTGGAAGTATTACCTACACATCCACATCTCTTAAGCTACACCAGACCACACCTGATCAGGCGGATCACATTCATACTCAACTTACCATTTTTGGAGCAGAAATCCATCAAACCACAAAAGCTAGTTTCTAGCCAAGAATTTAGCCTATTGCATGATTCTTGGAAAAGGAAAATCGTCCCACAGAAGCTCACTTACACCCTCAAGCCATCCAGATACAAAGTCAGCAAAGAATCCCTTGATTCTAGCCATTTTCCCCATCACTCATCAAATGGGTCAAAAATCCCTTTAATCATTCTTTTTGATATTTTTTTGATTTTTGCATAATTCTCTCTTAAGAATTAATGTCTAGGACGTGTACTGAGCCTATATAAGCTCATAGTTGTTTCATTTGTAAGACAACCACTTTTATCTAAGAAAATAGAAAAACTTTGTTCTTTTTTATTCAAAGAGTGTTCTTTGTTTAAACAACTTGTCTTTAGATTCAATTGAGTGATTCTTTTGTTATCTATTGATTCTTAGAATTATTTTGTTTGTGTGATTCAGGCAAGGCTAGTTCCAACGGTTGAGTGAGTCAGCCATCCCACCGACTGAGCGAGTCAGTCAACCCACCGATTGAGCAAGTTAATCACCTCAACTCCACCTCCATTCTGACTTCATCCCACATTCCGCACCATAAGCTTAGAATTCTCTTGATCGTCTTGTGATCATAAGTTGGAGTGATTCCAATCTTATATCACTTTCAGTTGATAATAAAGTTATATATATATATATAGATAATATTTTGATTAGTTGGCTTATCATAGTTATATATTCAAAAAAAAAAATCAAGATGATTAAAAACAATTTTATTTTCAAAAATATAGATAATTCACGTAAAACAATCAAATTAAAAAATAACACACACATACGTGTAAATTATAAAATTATAAAATAAGTAAATAAATATAGAATTATATAAATTAAATAGATATATATTTCACACATGACATATCACATTAGAATGTAAGATACAAAAAAGAGTAAAAGTGGTTTAGTGAGATAAAGAACCATATCTTTTGAAGAAAACTATGAATGCAATGTAGTTCCTGTGGTTTCAATTTAGCCTCGGAGATTTTATACCTTATTAAGAGCTAAACAAACAATAACGAATCCTCTCAAAACAAGTGTCTTCCTTTCCCTGAATCTAACACACACAAAAAGAGATAAGACATCACTCTAGCTCCAACCTAAAGTTTTACAAAAACAAATTGTTAACCAAGCTATGTCTCCTTCAAACTCTTCCTCACCTAAACTTGATCAGAAACTCAAAACTATTGTGGTGGCCGTGGAGGAGAGGAGGAGAACCAACAATCTGAAACACAGGTCTCCTCAAGAGGTTGTGTCTGAAAAGGCAATCACCGAGGCTGTCTCTGTAAAGACGACCACAGAGAGATCTAGTGTCGGATTAGGTGTTGTCCGAGCAGAAAACAATACGATGGAAAAAAGAAAACCGAGGCGCCTTCTTACCCTTCGTTGCCACATCTGCGGCGGAATATTCTCAACCTATTACTCCCTACACAAACACCAACAAATCCACGTGGATGGCAAAGAACTTGAGAAGGGGCTGCAGAAGATGGGTACAAGCACCACTTCAATAGATGCTTTATCAAATGATAAGGATCTTGGCAGCAACGTTAGAAGCACCACTTCCCCGTCGCTCAATGGCGTATCCGTGGATCATCCATACCGTTCCTTCGTCAGGGACACTAGCTATAACCACCATACTCTATCACCTGCTAATGATCTTGCACACTCTTTTGGTCGTAGCAGCAGTGGCTACCCATCTTTGTTCAGTGGTGGAATCACCATGGTACCTCCTTCGACTCCACACCGTTCCTTCACCGAGAACACTAGCTATGGTTCTTCTTCAAGAGATATCTTACCATCTTACAGCTATAAAGCACATGGTTCATCACTTGAGCTCTTTCTTGATCCACCAGGAAGCAACAACAAAAACAAAAGCTCACATGGTTCATCATCACTACATCGCTCTCTTGCTAAGGCCATAAGAGCAGTCATCAACAATAAAAGCAGCGTTTACCCATCTTCAAATTTGAATGGCGGAGTCACTACTGGAGGAGGAACCACGGATTTGAACATGCCCTTGCGTCCTCGTGTGTCTCGGTACTATTTTCATGGCTCTAACCCGCTTGATTCGATCACCAGAAGCGTCTCTCTTTCTCATCCTCCGCCTCCTCCAACCACCAACGTTTCTAATGATTCAATCACAACAAGCGTTCCTCTTCCTCCTCCTCCAACCGCCAATGTCTCTAATGTTGAGAAAGTTCAGGGCTCTAGTTTCTTAGAGAAGCTCATGTCAAAGGGGAAAAACAAAATCGGTGATTGTAGATGGTGATAAGGGTAAAGAGGTGACTGAAGATGATGGTAAGGGATCAGCCGGAAGTAGTTGAAGCTAAGAGTTGGGGTCGTGGTTCTTCTTCTTCCCCTTGAGTTTTTTCAGTTTCCTATGCATTGTTTCGTATTTGGTTTACATTCTCGAGGTATCTCATAACTATTTGAGGCCTTTCTTCTCCTCATTCCTTCTCAGTAAAATTATCTTATGATTGTTCTATAACTTAGGCAAAACTCATTGTATAAATATTCAAAGGCGAATTTCAACTTTCAAAAGTTAATGAAAGAGGTTCTGCGTTTTATTTGAAATTATTTGTTGAAACTTGAAAAGACATACCAAATCTATTCATGGGTTGTGTACTTGTAAATTATATGTAGAATTTCAGTTGTTTCCATTGGCAGTTTAACAAACAAAACAGAAAAAGTATGAACCATATTAATTATATATCGTCGTTTCCAAAAGCACTAACCATTTCATCTAACTCTATCATCACTGCTAACAAAAAGAACTGGCAATATCATCGCCACCACGATTAAGGAAGACCAAGAACTCATGCAACCGATGCTTGATTCCTAAAGATCATTCATCAACGAACTTTAGCAGTGACGCAACCATAGATCCAAATCTTCACGAACGACGCATGTATATATAATTGATAGGCTATGGAAAAATGTCTTCCCTAAAGATCCGTTGGTGATTAAACGTTTTTTTTTCATAGCCTATCAATTGAATATTGATTTGACTTCGTGAAGATATGGATGAAAAATTTCTGTGTTGGATTTTATAATGTATGATTATTGGGTTTCCGAGTAAATTAAATATTAAAAATTCCCAAGTTGAACAGACTTTCAATACAAGTTAAATGAATAATATAGTTAATTATTTCATTTTTGTAGAGCTTTTTTAAAAAGAACAAGTTAAAGTTGAGCCAAACAATAACAAAATCCAATAAATAAATTTTAAATAAATTAAATTAAATTAAACTAAATTCTAAAAGATTACCGACCCAAAAAAATCTCAACAAATTAAGAAATTATTAGTATATGCTGATAAATCATTTGGTTGGCATTTAACAAAAGGTACGTAAATTGGTTTCTCATGCATGATAAGGTTTTGCCATTTTGCTTATCGATATTGTTGTGCTTTAATTTTGTTGCTTTATATAATGTCGTTTTAGTTTGTTGAACATCGCGGGGATAGCTCAGTTGGGAGAGCGTCAGACTGAAGATCTGAAGGTCGCGTGTTCGATCCACGCTCACCGCAACATTTTGAAGTTGTTTTTTTTGTTTCTGAAACTTTAGTTCTCGTGCAAGAAGAATAAAAGGCCCTTCGAGTGTATTGGGGAACAAATTGTTTCCAAAACGGCGTGGCTTTGTTTAAAATACCTTTTAGGGTTTCTTACAAGACTGAAAAAGATTTACATCGAGAAACCAAAGTTCTGTAAGAGAAACACATCTACGTCATGATGACCTTCTCGGTGTTTGCGGTTATCGTTTCATTCTTAAAACTGCGAATCCAGCAATTGGAAGCAAAATTCAGGAGAGAGAGGATAGATCAAATCAGTGTGCTTCCAGTTGAATTGCTGTTGAAGATACTGTCTTGGCTTCCTATTGACGACTTAGTAGCCACGAGTTTCTTGTCAAAACGGTGGAGATATCTTTGGAAAGAAGTGAATACATTCAGGTATGATTGTAAATCCTCAGCTACTACTACTTTCAGGTTCGCCCTATTTACTTACGGATTCTCAAGAATAGAGAGCACGAACCTCAGGCTTAACCCATCACTATCTCGGGATTTGGTCATTGAACATTTGGTGAAGCTCAGGCTTAAACCATGTTTAATATATCTTCAAAGCTTGAAACCCTTGTACTCGAGCACCTAGCTCTGGTGGATGTTCCAGCTAATGTTTCTTTGGTCTGCCTCAAACGTCTCCACCTTTTGTATGTCTACTTTCCACGCGACGAATCTGTGGACATGCTTTTAAGCATATGCCCTCGGCTTGAAGATTTGGTAGTGTTACAAAGCTCCATTACCCGTGCGGGGATATTTAACATCAATGTGCCTTCGTTGAGGAGTTTATTCTCCTTGGAGAAGTCTTTCATCGATTATTCGACTTGGAGGAGTCTATCTATCGATTATCCGTTTTTGAATTTTCTCCCTACCCGTGTTGAAGGGTTTGTGATTAATGCACCATCTTTGAGGCGCTTTGCCATTAAGGACAGGTTTAACAACTATTTAAGGTTTGAAAATATGCCCGATCGAGCTGGTCAGGGCGAGCGTGGACGTTGTTTACTGTGACCAGACAAAGTTTCTAGGATCTCTGTCCTCGACCCAATATCTTTCTCTGTGTTGTGTCACTTCACAGGTTTAAAAGCTTTTTTGATTGCTTGTCAAAGATCTAGTTCTGTCAGGTATCCTTGTAATCATTACTCTTAGTCTTAATGTTTTGCTTCGATTGCTTGCAGGCTACGTATCCTACTACAGGCACTTTTTTCCTCTCTCTTGACCATCTAGAGCTATGTTCATGTTCTGTGGAATGGTGGAATCTACTTACTCGTATACTCAGTGATGCTCCGAGACTTCGAGTTCTCCAGCTTAAATTGGTATGTGGGTTCCTCCTTTGAACCCTAGCCCTTTACTATTATTACCTTTCTGTATTGTGTTTCCACTTTCTTGAAGGATTATCATTTATGTATGTATTTTCTCTATCTTGTAGTTTCAGAAACATTGTGCTCAGCACAGCGACGAGATGGCTCCGTGGAGCCAACCTGATTCTGTTCCTGAATGTTTATCATCCCATCTTTAGATCTTGGAGTGGAGACAGTACAACGGCACACAGCAAGAGGGAGAAGCTGCAAAGTACATCCTAGAAAACGGGATTTGTTTGAAGAAGGCGACATTCTACTCGAAATCTACAAAGAAACATGGGATGTTGAAGGAGTTAGAATGTGTAGCCAGAGGTTCAAACTTCAAAGACATGCCAGCTTGTGCTCGAGTAAAATCGCTTTGGTTTATTCAAAGACAAACTTTTTAGTTTCCTACTTCGACCATTTTCATTTTCAACTCCAAATATCATTTTAGAATAACTTTCTCTCCAACCCTACTCTCTATATATTTTACACCCTAAAATGGAGTAACAAATGAGATTGTTCCAAATTTGGAGTAAACCAATATTCTAATATCATATTGGAATTAAACTTTTTTATTTATAAATTAATTCTTTATATATTAAATACTTTTATTTTATACCAAGTAATTCATGACTATAGATATTTAATACATGTAAATAATATAAAATAGATAATCATAAATATTTGAGCAATAAAATATTGCAAAATAAAAATAAATTTAAAGAAAAACAAGTGATGGAATTAAAGATAAGAAACATTAAAAATTTAACACAGCAAATAAATAGGATTCATTTGTAAAAATTTTAAAATAAAATATAATTGTAATAAAATATAAATAGAATCTATATAAAATATTCTTCTTGAAGTAACAAATAGAGTTATATATTGAAGCAAAATTCAACTCCGTTTTAAAGTTACTCTATTTTAAAATAAAAAATGGAGATACACATTAAAGATGTTCTTAATACCTTCATTGGAGTCAAGATCAATGAACAAACCACAAATGAAATGTATTAGATGTACTCAAATTTGTGAAAGCTACAATAATACCTAATAATATAGAAACATCAAAAAATTATTAATTTATAGAGTTACTAATTAATTAATAAATTATTAATTATTAATTTATTAATAATTTATTAATTTATATAGAGTTCAAATTCTAAATGTTTATCAAGAGTTAATAAAAAATATTTTTAACATTGTAAAATTTTGTAAACAAAAAAATCATATTAATGTATTTGGAAGATGAGTCAAACAACATTTATAAACTTAAAACAACAATAAAATTATATAGTATTACATTATATATTTATACATGCCTATATTTATAGTTATTAAATTATCTTATTATTGAGATTATATATTTATTAGGATTTAAAAAAAAATATTATTTTATTATCTTATTGAATTTTGATAATTTTTACCCTAACCCAACTTAAAACCAACAAAATTTATTAATTTATAGTGTTTATGAAATTATATATGAAATATTAATTTATAGAGCTTCTATTGTATATGGTTTTACGACATTGTCTCAGTTCTTTTCTTCATTCGGAATATCATTATACTTTGTAACAATATTGAAAAGAAAGAAGATACACGAATAGTTAAGGAAAAGTAGCTTTATAACTTACAAAGGCTTTAGTTAACCTTGATGTCATATATCCTTACACAGAGGACAACAATGTATACACTTTTGAGTTTTTACCTAATTAGAAGATACAACAGAAGGAAAGTGTTGATTCGTTTACTTGGCACTTGTGAGAAATGAGAAATATTCGTTTATAGTTTCCTATATTTCTTTGGTCGTTTTGTGTTTCCATTTGAGTGTAGATGCTGAGGAGTAAATACAGAAGCGTTACATCTATTTTTGTTGCCGATTTCACAAGTCGAGAGACCATCAAATTTTGGTTGATTATCGTTACTAGTAAAATTTCATATTGATTCATTTTTGCAAATTGTTGTTGTTCTTTTTTTTGAGGAAGTTCATCCTAAGTCACTTTAATAGTACAAATAACCCCTTCACAAGATGTGGCCGGTTTAAAACCAATTTCTCAAGCAAATTCATGTTACTCAAAGTAGTTCTCTTCTTGCCAAGTTATATTTATAAAATTCAAAAATAGATCTTGTGAATTTATAAGGAAAAACTTTATTTGAGTGGGAGCTAGATCAATATAGTCGCATATTTTAAAGCAGACAAACGATAGAATAACACCGTGAACAAACATTAAAAGATTATAACAGCCTAGCAGGTTTACAATTTATAATTGTATATAACACAAGCTCATCAAAGTGCAATTGTCCTATTTATGAGGACCGAGAAATGTGGATCATATGATCACTCTGCTTTTTCTTTTCCAATAATTATTATACAGTTTATCTTCATGACAAAATTATTCTTAAACGATGCTTAAATTGGAGAAATAGTCATACTTTTACTTTGAAACGAAGTAAAAAAACGTTAAGTGCAATTGTTGATGGTGTCACCGTAAAGTTCGTCAAAAGGCACACCGTCCCCAACATGAACCTCAATAGATAATTAAACATAATAGCCCCTTTTATTAAGCAAGAAGTTGACTTTTCACTCCTATAAATTCACAATCAACAATTCAACTCTCATCATCACCAACACAATCAACTCTCTCCTTCTCTAATCAAAATAACAAGAAAAAAGACACAAAGATGAAGATCTCGAAAACCCTTTTGCTAGTGATTTCTCTGATAGCTGCAACTTGTTTCTTGCAAGCCAAGGCAGCTGGAGTTTACTGTAGCAACCCTTACAGCAGATGTTACCGCAGGTACATCCAATGTCCAGAAGAATGTCCAAGCACAACAGCTATGAACTCCAACAACAAAGTTTGCTACGCCGACTGCGACAGACCAACTTGCAAATCCCAATGCCGCAGTATGCTTTTCGATTTCTTGTCACAAAAGTTTCTATTGCATTTTTTTTTCAAAGTAATGAATCATATATGTTTTTTGTATAGTGAGGAAACCGAATTGCAACAGACCTGGATCAGCTTGTTATGACCCGAGGTTCATTGGAGGAGACGGCATTGTGTTCTACTTCCATGGAAAGAGCAACGAAGAGTTCAGCCTCGTCTCTGACTCTGACCTTCAGATCAACGGTAGGTTCATTGGCCACAGACCCGCTGGTCGCGCCAGAGACTTCACATGGATCCAAGCTCTCGGATTCCTCTTCAACTCCCACAAGTTCTCTCTCGAAGCCGCAAAAACCGCCACATGGGACAACGAAATCGACCATCTCAGATTTGCTTTCGATGGCCAAGAACTATCTGTCCCGGAAGAAACTCTCTCCACCTGGTTAGTATTAGACTCAAAACGTTATAAAAACATGTTCTTTAAGGATTCTTGAAAACCAACATATGTTTTCTTGAAACTCAGGTACTCACCAAACAAGGACATCAAGATCGAGAGAGTGACCACGAGAAACAGCGTGATCGTGACAATCAAAGACAAAGCCGAGATCATGGTCAATGTGGTTCCGGTGACTAAAGAAGACGACAGGATCCACAGCTACAAAGTACCATCAGATGACTGTTTCGCACATCTCGAGGTTCAGTTCAGGTTCTTCAACCTTTCACCTAACGTCGACGGAATCTTGGGACGAACCTACAAACCGGATTTCCAGAATCCGGCTAAGCCTGGAGTCGCTATGCCAGTTGTTGGTGGCGAAGACAGCTTCAAGACCTCTTCTCTTCTCTCCAACGACTGCAAAACTTGCATTTACTCTGAATCACAGATTGATTCCGTTAAGTCAGAGATGGAATATGCAGCTTTGGATTGTACCCGTGGAGCTTCTTCTGGATACGGAATCGTCTGCAGGAAGTAAAGAAATCATATTGAACGTGGCTTAAAATTAAAAGATGAATAATGCCAGAGAGCAGTTAGCTTCTGCTGGAGAATTTTCAAACTATATTATTACGTGAAGAAAAAGATTGTTGTATTTTGCTTACTATTTAATACTTGTATTGTATCGTCGACCATGCATTCTAATTTGTATTCACCTAATCACTGCTAATGATATATAAATAACCTATGAATTCTCCTGATTGCTGAGGTGTTGGTCGTTATCACCGGGAAGACTCATAGTCTTAGTCTTGTATCATTTTTCTAAGAATTTATTTTCCTAATTCTCACAGACTGTGCTAATTATTGAACCAAAATATCACTTATATTGATAAGCAATAGACAGTTATGGGTTTTGGAGAATAAATTTTTATTAGAAGCTAGGCGATTACAAAAGTAGCATGACAAAAGGTCTTGCCCAACTGAATGAAAGTATTTGAGGCAATGAACTTGAAAGCTTAGAACTATTAAGTTTTGTTTTTCTGTTCTCTAGGGATTTCGTATTGATCTTTAAACTATCTAAGGTCTTCTATTTAAAGAATTGAGAGGTGGGTTGCTGCAAACTTTCTTTCATTTTATCTTTTGGAGATAACTAGATAATTACCCGCGCTACGCTGCGGGATATAATTTTAGATTTTATATTTATTTTTAAATAAAAAATTGTTTTTAACAATATAAATAAATAAGTTTTTATATTTAGGTCTTGTTTGTTTTTCCATCTAAATTGTAATGAAAATTAATTTTTTCTGTAATTAAATTAAAAAACATTCAGATAATTATCTCGATAATTTTTTAAAATTTAGACAAATTTACGAGAATCATCTCGATAAACCAAATTAGACCATCTATTTCAATCTAAAATAATAAATGACTAAAATATTCTTAAAATTAAAAAAAAAAATCAAAAACCCAAAAATTTATTAAATCACATTTTTTGCCAAAACCGATAAAAACATTAAAAAAATCATGTCTTTCGACAAAACTATAACTTTATTTTTGTATCAAAACCTGAAAATGGTAGTTTTGTTTTCCAAACTGATAAAAGCACGTTTTTCTACTAAAAACGGGAAATAAAATTTTCCATTCAGAATTAATAAATTATATTTTCTCGCAAAACCGTCAATATTCTACCAAAACCGCGAAATTATATTTTCTCGCCAAAATCAAGAAATTATATTTCTCAGCAAGAATCTGTATTTTTCTGTCAAAGTCGATAAATCATGCTTTCTTGCTAAAACCAAAAAAAAATTCATCTTCTTGCAAAAATTGAGAAATTGCATTTTTCATCAAAATCAAAAAAATATTATTTTTCCGCGAAAACTATGAAATTGCATTTTTCCGCCAAAACCAAAAAAAATAATTTTCTCATCAAACCAAAAATCATGTTTTCCTACCAAAACCGAAAAATTGTATTTTCTGCAAAAACCGAAAATTGCATTATCGCGCAAAAAGTTACATTTCTGACCAAAACTGATTCAAATTATGACACACTTAAAGTTAGGAAACTTAAATATATTAACTTTTGTGATTAACAATTTTTTTATAAATTTTAACTAATATTAATTCAATAAAATCAATTACTTTTTTTGAAAATTACAATATTAAGGCATATGATGTGGTAGTTGAACGGGTGTCGTCATCCTCCTTGCTTGCAATTTCATCTTTCATAAGTTTAGATATTTCATCTGCCGCCCTGTAAAATTACAGAAGCATACACTTATAACTCTAATGTACTCCAACATTTCTACATTAGAAACTATGAAAAAGTGAAATCATTATAAACAAAGGGGACTTACACAGCGGTTGTAATTGGAGCTTCCTCATTGTCCTTGCCAGCAACTTCATCTTTAATGGATTTAGAAACTTCATCTCCCAATCTGCAATTGCTGCGGGTGAAAAATAATTTGACTATCAAGATCTTCACCTTGGCATATTTGCTTAGTTGGGTTATTATATATATCATTCAACAATTGTGTATTTGAAAAACGAGAAAACATTTTGACTCACTTGGAAGTAGGGATTGAAGCTGCATCTTTAGAAATGGGTTTCACAGGCTGATACAGCTGAGAACAGGAAAGCTCTAGAACAACTAAACGAAACAGATCAGTGTAAGATCTAGATATCTTACACTGAGGGGCACATATACTAAACTGCTGCGCTTGATAGAAACACCACTGCTTGGAGATGGAGTTTCTTTTGCTTTGGATCCACTTGCAACGACGTGTTTATGAGTAGCAGCCTTGGGTGGTGTTGCCTCAATCCTCTTTCTAGTGATATCAGTGGTGTTGCGTCAATCCTCTGTAAGTGACGCTGTTCCATCGAATTAGCATAATCTTTGTCTAATTACGATTCTCATTCATCTCGAGAACATGAAACAAACATAATCTGGTAAATAAGAAGAGTACTTGGAGAGGATCGTAGATGGTGTTGAGATGATAATTTTACAATACTTGATGAAACTTCAAATAACTCAGGAAATTAGCGGAGGCATAACCAGCAGCCGATGCAGTCAAATCTGATACTTATTATCTTCAATGATAGGATTGGATCTTTTTTGAGACGCACAAAAAAATCTAACACTACCAAGAGAAGATCTCGCTGATGGGATTTACACCATTGCCGGTTTGATTCAACATCGCTAATATCGTTCTTGGCTAGGACTGGACGGTGGTGCCCAAGACGGAGTCGTTTGCATGAAGTTTCCATCGAAATCACTTATATTTTATTTAATGGAAGCAAAGGATGTCACGCACCTTTCTTATTAAATCAAAGCTAATGTTTTAATCAAAGCTGATGTGTAAAAATTTAAACTGATCTGTATTAATTAAAATGTTTTGATTGGTTTCTTAAAATTGTTGATGTGTCAATTTCTCAAAGATTGAAAAATCTGATGTGTCAACATATGGAGAGACTTGTGTGTTTTTGTTGTATTGATTACAATAGTTTCAATATGAAAATATTATTGTATGTGATTATGTGGAGATTTTTTATTATCTTCGAATAATTTATTTTAATTCATTAGATCAATGTAATTCTCCAGGTCTCGATGGACTTAGGTTATTACTAGATAAAACCTTCTAAAAAATATGTTTGTTTCCACTACAAGAAAATATGTAAATTTCCAACAAATATTTCTAATAATTTTGTGTTATTAGAAAATTTCCAACAAATTTCTTATTAATTTTCATCTAAGAACAATTTTTAAAAAAAAATATGTAACAAGATTCCAAGAAATATAACTTATTAGATTAGTATCACAAATTTAATTGGAAAATTGTTGGAATATCCATACAATTCTATAATTGTTGGAACTTATTGATGGAATTAATTTAATGAAAATTGTCAACTAAAAATTTGTTGGAAATTCATAAATTCAATCCAAATGATCGATGGATCCATTACAAACAAATTTGCTATTACTGAATGTTTATTTTTTATTTTTTTGATGGATTTATATAAAAACAAGATCTCTTAGGCCATTCGATTCTTCCAGCTGTAGCGATATCGAAGACACCACAATCTGGAGAACGATGATTATGATCTTGTCTCGCAAGTGGAAGATCTCGCTTGTTCTCAAATCATTTATCACTTTCATTTTGACTTTCTTTCTTAAAGCTATCGATTAGAATGATGAGATTTAGTTTTCTAGCTTAATTCGAATTTGACCATCACACGTTTCTCTGATTCTTCACAATTGATCAGGTGTCAGCTATGGTTGAGTTGCATTTTGCTGTTCCCATGACTCCGCACTTGTAGCGGTTTTACTCAGACACTCAGAGACAAAAGTGCTTTTCGCAGATCATTAGTTCCTCCGAATTGCTCAAAGAGCTTGTTAACATCTCGCCGTCTCCAAGAGAATCTACTCTTTCCCACTTTAAGCTCTCACGATTCATCTTGAATACGTAAAACAAAAGCTTCTCTTCGTGGCCCGTCTCCACCACTCTGCGTTCACCTCCACATTCCGACATCATAAAACCAAACAAACCCATTCCTCACCATCTCTCCTTAAACGCCTCAAACGTTATACGGCAATCCAATTTCAAAGCAATCGCAACTCTCCTTCACATCTCCCCCCGGCATCTTCCTCACAACCCTTTTTGCCATCGACGATGCTGCCTTATTCAACACGTCATCACTACCTCCTCTGTTTCTCAAACAGCTTCGTCAGTACCACACAATCCCTCTAAGGCTTTCGATGAAGGACTTTCTCACTAAAGTGAATGAGATAACGATAACAGATAATACAACATGAAATAATTAATATTATGCCCATAATCGAAATCATTAAATTATAATACAAGCCCATATAAGATACAAAATAAGACAAAACACCTAAAACATACAAACACACGTGTAACGTGTTCTGATTGAGAAAAAAAAAACAAATCTTTTTGTGGCTGCCAAACACAAACAGAGACATACCTAGATTGGCGTAAACCAAAAACAATCGAAGAATTGTGTTCTATGGCTGCTAAGCATAACTCGTGAATAAATGTAGAAGCATATTAATGAAGCTACCAGAGAAGTAATAAAGGAATATAAAGAAGGCCTCTGAATTTATGCGTTTCGCTACGAATCAAGAAATTTCAATAGAGAGAAGTAAGATGTATTGTTCTTGTTTAAACGATAATTTACTGGAAATTAATAATAAGTTTATAACAATTTATTTGTCAAAATGTTTTCTCAGAAATTTGTTGGTAATTTCCAATAAATTGCTAACAAAATAGTTTATTAGTAATTCTTCTCAATTTTTCCAATAAAATTTTATTGTAAAAAAACTTTCAACAAAATTTTAACCATTTTTTTTTTCAATAGTCAAATACCAACAAATTTCCTTTTGTTAAAAACTCATTGGAAGTAGTGATTTCCAACAAATTATCTACAAATATGTTTGTTGGAATATTTATGTTTTCTTGTAATGTTCTCTTTTAATATTTTCTTAGCTGGTGTTGGAGCGGTGGTCTTAGTCTTCTCAGCCTAGGCTAGAGCGATGGTCTTTTCCACCAGCGCTGGAGCAGTTTTTCAGCCATTGCTAAAGCGGTCTTCTCAGCTGGCATTGGTGCAGTTTTCCACTTAACGATTTTCGTTTGTTAAACTTTTTGTCATTCCTTAGAATCTCATCCGCGATTTGCCTTGCGGCTGCAGTCTTACCAAGAGTGACTTAAAGAAACTATAACTATTGGACCAAAAGATAAATAGGAAAAGTTTTCCAACCTTTTTGATCTTTTTATTTTTTCTTAATATCATCATTATTCTGTTTTACTTCTAACGTAAATATATAATCACGCCCTATTTTTATATCATATCAGGTAATTCACGAGTGCGTTTGTGATCTTTTACTCATTATTTTATTTTTCTTTGCATGCAGAAATAATCTTCATTTTTAATTATATCAACAAAACATATTAATTAGAAACCTAAATTCAAATATGTAAGTAATTAAGGTGTCATTAACTAAGCTAATTATTAGAAAACAAAAGTTTTCAACCGTATATATACTTTGTTATAGTTACCACATTCCCAAAAATTAAGCGGATTGATGAAATGGCGTTACCAAATCTCATTGACTTGACTTTGTCCCAATTTTGCACACATCAGATCTTCCTCATAGATATCATAAATTGGATCACCTATGATTTCCTTGTACACTTCATACAAATCTCCATACAAATCTTTATTAAGACATGATAAACAAAGAATTGGTTCGGTTCTGATACCAGCTGTTACAGAAGAAACAAAAGAAACAAAAAGATCTCTAATTTGAATTCTCAACTATTAGCTAGCTGATTCTGCCTCACTCTTTCCAGCTTTCTCAACATAAACACTCTAAACTATTCATACCAATTATTTTGTTGTTAATGTAGCCCTAATTATAAAACAAGAGTACCAAATGTTGATGAATAGATTTATGTGATCATTTAATTGTTATATGCTCTTGTTTAAGACACGTGAATTGATGAGTCAAAGATATTCTTTTCTCCAATAAAAATGCTTCGAGAAAATGAAGATAAATTATAACTACTCAACAGCTCAAAACGTGGTCATTTCTAATCACATATGGTACTGTAATATATTATTGAAAAGTATAATAATAAAGAATATTAGTTTTGGTGTAATATTAGGTGTTGTGATTAGAGATGGACAAAAGTTAAGACACTATAAATAGTTTTGGTTTAAGTTTTTCTTTTTGGGTCTTGCGCTAAGATGATGATGGGATTTGGGGTAAATTGATTCTCTCAGTCTGCTTTGACCTAAATAACTATGAAATGCTTTAAAATAGGTTGAAGGGAAGAATGTTAAGCGTGCTGCTAAACGGCATCTTGAGCGTGAAAAGGCAAGGAAGGAAGTAACTGCTGATATGTCAGAGGACCTATCTGAAGGAGAGAAGGCAGATTTGTTCCGTGATGGCAACACCAAAGGAAGAATGTCTCGGATCAGTTCTGTTGACGTGTTTGAGAATTGGTTTGCTCAACACAAAGAGAAAAAGCTTTACATCGTCTTAATAAGGTATAAACTTTAAGGGAATTTCTATAGCAATTGATTGGAAAGTAATGGTGTTCTGTAGTTAAGACTAAGGTGAGTTTCCTCATGGTGGTAAATAACAGTATAAATTTTCAAGGAAAATGAATTCAGAAAACTTTATAAAAGTTAAAAACATAATCACATTCTGATTCTTGATTCTTGTACGCACTATATTACAAAACAAATACGCTGGTTTGACAATTTCGAAATAAATCATCTGAATGAAATAATTTTGGATCATCCAACCCAAAGAGTCCATATCTTTCTTTCTGTATAACAAAAACAATGTCTCTGTCTCTGCATTTTCACCAAATGTTTAGTCTTCTTCTTCTACCTTCCACGAGGATGAACAAGCTGCGAAAACACAGCACTCGTGGTCGCATCTTCCGCATCATCATCAGTCCCCGTCCCCGAGTTCCCTCCTCCTCCTCCTCTATCGATAATACTCATACTGTTATCAAACGGCTCCATCGGCGCCATCGGAATCCCAGGGATATGGTTCGTGCTGTTATCATCAGGCTCCATTAAAGCCGACGACGTTTCCTCAAGCTGCAAAGCGTACTCCAGATTCCACAACACATCTCCCATCGACGGCCGGTCCACGCCGTATTCCGCCAAACATTTCTCTGCCGTTTCTCCGAATTTCTTCAGCGACGCCGGATTCACTTTCCCGGTCAAGTTACTGTCCATGATCTGATCAAGCAGACCTTTCTTCTGCCAAGCCATAGCCCACTCCGCTATGTTCACTTGCTCCCTCGGCAAAACCGGGTTTAGCGCCGGTCTACAACAGAGGACTTCCATTAGAACAACCCCGAACGAATATACATCGGACTTCTCAGTTAACTGCTGCCTCCTGAAGTACTCCGGATCAAGATAACCGAAGCTTCCTTTAACCGCCGTGCTCACATGGGTCTGATCCAGCGAAGGACCCGTTTTCGACAGCCCGAAGTCGGCGACTTTCGCGACTAGGTTCTCGTCGAGCAAGATATTCGTGGTCTTCACGTCTCGGTGTATGATGCTCTGCGACGCTCCGGTGTGTAGATAATGTAACCCTCTCGCTGCGCCGATGCAAATCTCGAGCCTCTGTTTCCACGACAACGGAGGAAGATCAGCTCCGTAGAGATGACTCCTCAACGGTCCATTCGCCATGTACTCGTAGACAAGAATCATCTCTGACCTCTCGTCGCAGTAACCGATAAGCGAGACGAGATGTCGGTGCCTTAGCTTCGAAAGCATCTCGATCTCCGTTCTGAACTCGGCCATGCCCTGCTCTGACCTCGGGTTCCCTCGTTTCACGGCGACTTTAGTCCCGTCTTCTAACGTCCCTTTGTAAACCCGGCCGAATCCTCCGACGCCGAGGAGCGAGCTCTCGTCGAACTTGTTAGTAGCGTCCATGATTTCTTGGAACATAAAGCAACGGCCAAGATGCGTCGAGGCTAACGAAATGCAGCTCGCCGTGTTGCTCTTGTGAGAAGCGGTTGATTTTGTAAGCGTCTGAGAGAGTCCATATAACGGCAGAGGCAGCCACGGATGTCCGTTACCGTGACCGTTACCGTTACCGCCTTCTTGAGGACTCGTGGAACGCTTCTTCCTCGACGCAGCTAAACAGCAGTAGCAACAAACCGCGATCAGCAAAACCGCTGTGACCGCGCCAACCGCGGAACCGATGATCACTACTTTCTTCTTCTTCTTCTCTGAATCTGATCCTCCGGGGACAAGAGACTTAACCGGAGAAACGCCGCTTAAGCTCTTAGCTTCGTTACTAATCTTAAAAACCTCTAAACCGTTCATAGTAGCATTGGTGATATCAGCTTGAGAGTCCGGTCCAACGCTAACGGTTAACAAACCGGAAGATTCGACGGAGGCGTTCGAGATGAAGTCTCTAAAGTAAGGGACTTTGAGACCATTAGTCAACGAAGACAGATCAAGACTTCCGAGAGCAAGAACATCATTCACATAGAGGTTGAAGACAAGCGTGTTCAAAGACTGGCTCACGATATCGCAGAAATGAACACGAACAAAGTACCTGAAGTCTGGTTCCACAGGGAGAACCCAAGTCACGTTAAAACTCGGGCTCGCTACATTCGCTTCACCCATTGTATCAGCGGTTGCGTAAACCATGTTCGGAGCTGTATCTTGCGTCAAGGAAGCAGTGTACTTGATCGAAGAAGGGTTCGCTGTTACCACAAGGACAGAGCTGTTCACGTGGAGATACTCTGCATCGTTGTCCCATCTTCTCCCCAAGGTGTCGTTTTGAGAAGTCAGCAATGGTCCTCCCATGTTCAATCTGTAGACCGTTTCGAACGCGAGCTGAGAGAGGCCGCTGAACGGAGACGAAGGGTTCAGAGCCAGAGCGACGTCAGGGATAAGGCTATCAGGGACAGAGATAACTTCAATCGCGTTGACAAACACCACCGAATTGTTCGTAGGGATGAAAGTTAGGGTCAAGAAATCTGAAGTGGCATTGACTGTGTACTCCTTGAAGACGTAAGAGCCGTTGTAGTTCTTGAAGGAGAAGCTGTTCAAGAGCACGAAATCGTCCGTCACCACTGTGATTGACGCGGAGGTTAAGTTCCAGGTCGAGTTCTTCACCGGAGAGAAATGGAGACGGATCCAGTGACGACCCAATGCGGTGATTTTGAATCTGTACGAAGCTAAACCGGAGAAAACGCGAGCGGTTTGGTAGATCGAGTTGCTCGAATTGGAGCTAGTTGCTGCTACGGAGGAGTTTCCGATTTTGAGAACGAGAGATGAGTGAAGCGAATCTGGAACAAAGGTTCTGCCTTGAAAGGTTATGTTTTGCGATGAGCCGCAAGAGATCAAGTAATTATCCGGCGGATTGAACAAAGCAGACGAAGTATAACAATAGAGGAACAAAAGAAGAAGAAGAAGAAATGGTTTTGTGAACACCATTGTGTGTGATATCAATAGCTCAAAATCTTGGATTTTTAGTAAGAACCCTAAAAAACCCAAATCGATAAGAAAACCCAGAACCAGAAACTTAGAAACCCAATGCCACAAAAGAATCAAAGTTTTTGTATTTTGCTTGAGCTGTTTCGAGATTGGCACTTGAAGAAGGTGAAGAGAAAAAAAAGAATTGGGATTTGATTAAGAGAGAGAGAGAAGGAAAAATTTGGAAAGCTTTGGGTTTGGATTCACATGGCGAAAACCCAAATTCAAGAGTGTCTGTTTTGGGACGAACAGGAATCAACCAAACCAAAGAGAGCAGAGAGAGAGAAAAAGAAGAAAAGGCAGAGACTTTTTAAGTGATACTTTCTGCAAAATTTCTTCTCTCTATAGCCCTTTCCAGGCTGGTTGTTTAGGCTGTCATCTTACAGAGGAGAAGCAACTCAAAGCAAACCATTCACAAGGGCCTACACAAAGCCCTACTACACAAAGACAGAGAGAGGCTAAATAAATTAGAATAATAATAGGATTAAAAGAAGAGTATTAATAAGTTTAGTTTTTTACTTTTGAAGTATAGTAATGATTATTAATTAAATTTTTCTTTTTGTCTGTTGCATCAAAATCGCGGCGGGTAATAGCTGTTAATTTGATTATTTTGTAAGGTCTTTTTCCAAAAGATAAGAAGAATATGAAAACGTATATTGTCTTTTGGATATTGTTGTAGTATTGTTGTGTGTGGGTCGCTATTTATCATCACCTCTTGTTTCGATCCTTGAATTTTATGTGTTTCCTGTTGAACTCTCTAGATCGTATCGAGTTGATAATTGCATTTTCTTTGCCAATAATAAGTTATCAAGATTTATTGTAAAGGTTTTACAGTTGTTGATAGGTCGGTTTTGACTTTTTGGTTTTCCGGTTTTCTTACTAACCCATAATCCAAATAAGTATAATACATATATACTGTCATACTGGTTTGGTAAGTGACGAGAGATTGGCTTGGATTCAGATTTTGATCAGATATATTTAAAATATTCAAAACAACTGTTTAGGTAAGTTTTTTTAATCTTTCAGTTCAATTTAGACCACTTTTGATTTTTTGGATATTTAAAAGTAAATCAAATTATTTTATGGATCAAAAATTGGATTGGTTTTTAAATCAGCCTTTTGAATAGGTTTGGATAAGTAGTAGTACATTTCGGTTTAAACATAATTATGTTTACATCCAGTTTCAGTTTTTAGTATCAAATTTTGGCGGTTAAATCTTTATGCAGACACTTGTTAGTATCAAAGTCATGATATTCGATATTAACTAGCAATGTTATTAGTAACTTAGATTTCGTTTTCCAAAATTTGATTTCAGTTTTTTTTTTTTTTTGCCAAATATCTAAAGATTTAACCGCCAGTCACTTGCACAGTTGCGCCGGTTTTCTTCAAATAGTAGTTGCCGGTAGAAACCCAACTATATTGTGATCCTTTTGCATTAATGATGAAAACAAGTTGTCTTAAATATGTTTCAACTACTACTAAGTTAACTAGCATTTGTTAGCATATAGTAAAAATAATATGCAGAGCTTTTACTAAATTGGTAGAAGAGGTATAAGTACATAATTACATGCATAGCTAATAATAGAGGTATAACTTACAAGCTAATAACTGTTAACCATAGGTCAAACCAGCCAGGTTCCCAACTAATCTTATTATGAATGAATTAATTCAACTCATCTATTTATGGTTCTAAAGTATTGGGCCTATTGGCTTATGACTGATACATAAACTAAGACTAGAAATATTTTCAATCTAAAAAGTAGTAGTATATACTTTGATTAATGAAGCCTCGAGGTTTAAAAACAGCTATAGCTACGAAATTTACATAAATTATTCGGCAAACAAATTAAAAAAATTGGATAATAGATGATCTAAATTCTGATAATCTGTTCACTTCAGCAGGTGAATTTGGAAATGATACCTTTATTTTCATTTTATATAGAATTGGGATATTATCGCTCACAAATCAAAATAAATAATCGCGAAATTGGAGTGGAACCCACAAACGCGGCTTTTGGAAGAAGAGTGGACAGAGATGACGGCGCCGTATCCGAAGGTGCTTCTCTCCGTTTGCATTTGCGCTAACAAAACAAAACATAACACGAAACCAAAACTGTGACAGTGTGTGACGATGTGTCTTAACGGAAATAACTACACACACAAATAACAAATATACACCGTATCACCGTAACAACACGACTTTAATTTTGTCGATTGTCACATACTGTTCTTATAATAAGGTTATCTTTTTTTCCCCCGAGTATAAAGTTAAGAAAACAAAACTTAAATTATTCAAATCTTCCAAACCGTAAGTTTGTTCTTTCGTCCTCCTAATTTGTACCAGTAAACAATTATCACAATTTGTGTTGGACCGTTGCATCATTTAATAGCAAAAGAATAAAAGTTATTCTAAATAAGAATCAAGAAAACAGCTATATTAATTATTATCATATATATAAAGGTAAATTTTATTTTTCTCCAATCGTGATTTCATCTTTACACACTGTTACTAATAAGACTTATCTTTTCATTTTATCTCATTTTTTTAAACATTGAAGAACTGTTGGAGTCTCTAAAAGCCCGCTAGAAAAACTGCGTGTCTAAGTAGTTGCATGGTGGACGTGGTCGCAGGAGGAAAACTGCAATAAAGTCGCATGATGGTTGTATGAGAGCTGCGTGACGACTGGCCACAAAAAACAAAAGTTAGAAAAGCTGCAAAGTGATAGAGGAGATGACGAGTTTGATGCAAAAAGAAGTTTTGTTACTCTTCTCGGTGTGCAAGAAACATGTCCCTTAAGATGGTGTTTGGCAGTAGAGACGAGTTTTCGGGAGATCTATTCTGATCTTTTGGTAAAATGTGTACACGTGTGAGATATTTGAAGAAGTTGAGAGAGACAACAAGGATAATAAAAAAAAAATGCATGGAATAACATATATGAACATTTCGTTTTTTAAAGTATAGGTTAATCGAGGTTTAATGTTCTTATAGGTGTTCTTATTGTACATAACTCATTGATGATATTGGATTATGGGAAACCATTCCCAGTGAGATGTAAGAGCCGCACTTGTTACCAAAATCTTTAAAACCAATTCGTCTCTTAAAATTTTATTTCCACAATATTAAATGATGAATCGAACCAATTAATTTATAGTATTTAATTGATGGGGCGAATTAACTCATCAATTAATGTGGATTTACAACACCACTTTAGGAATATAATGAACTGAAGTACTCCTTGTGCTGAGCACAAGATATTAGCAAAGAGGCAAAGAGGATTTAGTCATAAAACATGTCTTTGATGTCCTACATTAAATTTAAAATTTATGCCTTTTTCAATTTTCATACTATATTTTTTATGTTTGATTTATGGTTTGGCAATATAATTAGAGGCTCGAAGTCAAAGGCCCGAGACTTTACGATACTCACATAAAGCTATATACTTCAGACAAGACCTAAAAATATGAATTTAATCAGGAATTCAATGATATTTTCATTACTTTTTTTATGAAATCATTGTAGAATTTCTTAATATGTGAATCTCTATGTTTTAAGTCGTCTGTTTTTAAACTCAAATCACGTATAATTTTAAAAGCTATCAATTTGTGTATGTCTATAATTAACTAGTTGGACTTCTGTGCTTTTTATTTACATTGTGTATTAAATAGAAAAAGATGTTTATTTATGGTTTGACTAGTTCAAAATTATGTTCTTGACATACAAGTTAAGCCTTTTGTTTGTTTACGTACTTTATTATACCTCATATTTCAAACATGAAAAAAGACTTTGGTTTATAACGTGTTGCTTTTTCTGCTTGTTATAAGTTGGAGTAAAATAAGGTCTATTTGTATATTTGGGGAATTTTCCAATCATCATCACATAACACGACGAGAAAATTTCGTTCTCGTATTGCAAAAACATATAATCTATAGGAAAATAAAAAAGTATAAAATGCAATAATTATCCAAAAAAAAAAACACAAATGGAATATCTTGAGAAAAAGAATATGATAGTGGAGAGGATGAAGTTGTTAGGTCACACCATGTGCTTGCACATGCGTTCCTATATCAAACCACATGATTCCTACAGCTGAAATCTTTATTGTTTACTTAGAATATTTAGCTTATTATTGATCGAATGCTGGAATTAGAAGACGACTACGTACTAACTTTTAAGACTTTTTAGATTCGAACGTTTGTAATTTATTGGACCTTAAAGGCACAAAAAGTTCACTTATCATATTAAAATGAACGCGTTGAAATTATTATTAGGGTCTGATTATTAAAATCCACCTTTTATAAGATTCATTAATTATGACAATGGTCTAATGTCTTCCTTCTACTAGGATAAGTTGATTGGAAATTTTCTATCGATATAACATATAGACTAAGTCGGAGATGTTATTTAGTACTTGGATTATCAACTACAATAAATTTGTTATTAATTAAAGTTTTCTATCATTTGTTCTCTATCAATTTATGTGGTTGTTAGCTTCTTATAAATCAATAGGGACAAACATGATTATAGGTGTCATTTTCGGGGAAAAGACATTACATAATATCCAATTTGTTTAATAAGTTAAAAAATTAACTCGATTTCCCACCTAAGATTAGAACATATGGGACCCACTTCCAAAAATCATTAACCTGATATTAAAGGGATGTATTAAGATCACAAATTCTCTGTTATTGAAATCTAAATTTTTTAAAATTGTTTAAAATTCAGCGTTATTAAACCAGTAATTTGAAAATATAACTTTAAATTCACTGTTATTAAAAATAATTTAAGTAGTGAATTTTAAAAAATTTGTAGTGACTTTAAAATATTTTGATGGAATTTTCTAGTTAAAAATATAAGAATTCAAATCTCATAGTTTTAAGTGGAATTTGATAGAATTTTGATATCAAATCATAACAATTTTCATAATTCAAAAACTCAAATCCTTCAAAATCATTTCAAATGTTAAGTTGAATATATCCCTCTAAATCTTTCTTCTAAAAATTCAATTTGAGTACATATGATACTAGTATTAATTATTCTTGTATAGGTCTTTAAAACAAACCGCCGCTGAAACGTGAAAGAAAATGATCTTGCAAACACGAATAGTTTGTAACTTTGTGTCAAATGTTGACATTTATAAGTGAGATTGTTATAAAAAAAATAAAAAATGCTTATAATTTAATATAGGGTAATTTTCATAATTACATTAAAAATAAGTTTTCAGCACAAATATAACAGGGAAACTGAAAATTTTCCACCCCTAACATTTCTTATTTGAGTTTTCCGATTTTACTCTTTAGGAAAGTCTTCCTAAATGTTTTTTCTGTTAATGTTGCGTGGTTTTTTTAGGAAAGTCTTCCAAATACTAGAATTTAACATCGTTTCATATGGTTTATGAAAGCTTTCCTAATTTTTTAAAAAAATTCTGAATTGTAGAATGGCTTCCTGAATTGTGGAAGGGTTTCCTGAATTGTAGAAAGTCTTCCTGTAAGGGTTTTTTTTAATTTGAATTGTATAAATTAACAAAAATAATAATCAATTATACGATTTACGAAATACATGTAATGATTTCCTTAATTTATATATTTTAGGAAAGTCTTCCTAAAACTTTAGATTATCTTCCTAAATTTGTGTTCATCTCCTTCCTCACATTTGCGACATCCAAACCCTAATTTCCGCCGATTTCTTTTTTTTTTTTACCATTGATGCTGTTTTAGCTTGGGTTTCTTGAGTTTTTCATCCAATTATATCAGATTTATCTATCATTATATGATTTTGAGCTTTAAATTCTGAAATCACTTTCTCATTAAAAAACCTCAAGGATCCAAGAGATTCACAATCACAAATCACAATCAAATGAGAAGAGATATCCTAAACAAAACAAATAATTCGAATTTCAGATCAGTCTTGGACATTGATACATTTCTTTGTACATTATTTTTCTTTTCTTTTTATTAACTAATGTTTTGTTTAACTAAGATAAAAATATTATGGAATGAATTTTGTAGATGTTAGTGTATATATGGAACAAAAACTTAGATTATGTGTATTTGAAGGAATTTCTCTTTAATATATAAATTTGTAAACAAAAATCATTCGCTTACAACTTTCATCCACCCCCCCCCCCCCAAAAAAAAAAAAACTAATACAAATAATTAAAGTACAATTTGCAGACTTAATTTGTTTTTTACGTCAAAAAAAAGTACAATTTGCAGTTAAAACCCCACTAACAAAGATACAATTTGCAGTTAAAACCCCACTAACAAAGATACATATAAAACAATAATAACGTGGACTAAGTTTTAGAGAGAGAAAAAAACCGATTATTTCACTCATAAAATTAAAAAAATGGATTTGACTTCAAATGTTGGGCCGTCGAGACCGTCAATCACGTCGCGACCGTGAATCCAGCCGAGAGGCCGCGTTTTCGTTCTTTAGCATTTTTTTTTTCTTATATAAATCTTTGAAATATAAGAAGAATCATAAAATATGAGTAAAATTGACCCCAAAAAATAAATATGGGTAAAGAACGACGCAGAAAAATTATTTATATGGAAGATAAAAAATATTATAATAAAAAATTATAAATATAAAATTTTTATTAAAAAAATGATATCTTACAATAAATTTTGAACTTTAAGTTTTTTTAAAAATATACCGATGAACAAAAATATTTTCATCGATTTTTAGATATTTTCACATATAAAATATATATACTCCTTTAAAAAGTATATAAATAATAATAAAATAACTTTTATATAAAATTAGACTATAAATTATTTGATAAACATCTAATAAAATTTAGTGTCTTTAGTTATTTGTTTTTAAGTATGTAACTGTAAAAGAATAAATAAAAAAAAACTAGTGTATTAAAATTCAAAGAAAGAGAAATAACAATATGTATATTAAAAATATAAAAGAAATGAAAAGATATAAAATATTATAAAAAAACGAACAAAAGGGTAATAAAAATTGGAAAAAGACATAAAAATGGTTTACATGAAAATTAAATAAAATAAAGAAAACATGAAAAATACAACAAAACTTTTCCTGAATATAAGATGCGGTACTTGCTCATTAGAACATCTATCCAATTAGTATGGGGCACGTGCCCCACCCCATTACCATGTAGATCCGCTCCTAGTCTTTATTTTTTTCTTCGTCTATATTCTCAGGTCCAATTCCAACCATTTCATCTTGTATTTATCTCTCTATCACTCGTCAGATCCAAACTCAACTTGATTAACTTCCTTACTGAACTTGAGAGTCAGAGACACAATCACACACACATACACACATATAGAATCAGTGTGTGTAGAAGAATAGTCGTAACTAAACTGAATTTGGAAAAAATATGTTTTTCTCATGAAAATATTTATGGTGTTTTATGGGTACCACTTGAATTAAATTATTTAGGGGAGTTTCACAAAAGCATAGATATATCACCTTCGTTGAACTGTTTTTTTTCCTTCTAAACACTGTAAATCATTTTATTTCAAAAATAACAATCCACACACCAAAACACATTAATGAATTAAAACAACCAAAACATTATTGGGAAAGGAAAACAAAACCATTCGTTGAATGTGATTTGTTCTCCCATTTTGTCTATCCGCTCATTTGATTGGTAAATCATTCGAGTGGTACACTTTTTATCACTGCGGTAAACATTTACCATCTGTAAAGATTTACCAGCTCATGATCTCATATCAAAGCTCAAATGTTAGGCAAGTCAACCCTTTATACTAGAAGACGGTTTAATACTATTTAGTTCTTTGCAACAAATATATTTACAGAATTAATGGGCTGACTAAAAATTGAGCCCAATAATAGGCCCAAAATCTCGGAAACACCATCCTCACTCGACCTGTGTAAAGGTTTCCTAAATCAGTCTGCAATTTCAGAACCTTTTTCGTCTCTCTCGCTGCGTCGCTCGGATTTAGGTTCGTCAAACATTTCCCACGATTTTCGTTACTTAAAGCTTTCTTCAGTCATTATCTTCGTTCATCGGTATCGAGCTAGAACTTTTGGGATGAACATCTGATATTACTATTCTAGGGTTTCGATTTTTTTTGTTTGATTCAATTGGCCGAAACTCGAGAGATTAGGTTGGTCGCAAGCAATGTGTTTGTAATACTTAAACTTTCGTTTTCAACTTGTGTTAATGCAGAATAGTTGTCTACAGTCAAGAATCAATACATGGTTGCGAAAGGGGAAGAAGCGAAACGGGCTCGTTCAGAATCAGAGTGTTCGAGTCAGAGGTTGAAGGAAGACAGGATAAGCCAGTTGCCTGATCCTCTGATATGTCACATCCTTTCTCATCTTCCCACAAAGGAATCTGTTTCTACAAGCGCTTTATCCACAAGATGGAAAAGTCTCTGGCTTTGGGTTCCTGATTTGGAGTTAAACTTCTTCACACTCCCAGATACCACTGCCTTTGCGAGTGTTTGCGACAGGTTTTTCGACTCCAACAGGGTTTCTTGCATACGCAAAGTCAAGCTAGATGTTATGAGAGACAAGTCGGACGACGATGTGAAGTGTATCTGTTGTTCTTACTCTTACCTCAACGCATGGATTGATGCTGCAGTGAAGCGGAAGATCCAACATCTGGAGCTCTTTAATCTTTTCGTTTTTGAGATGACCAGAAGCCTCTTCACCTGTGAGACGCTGGTGGTCTTGAAGCTTCGGTGGGTGTACTTGCCTGATGGAGAGTTGGTTTTTCACTTGCCTCGCCTCAAGACCATGCACCTCATGAGATTGTTTTATCCCAACGAGGCCTCTTTCGAGAAACTCGTCTCATCCTGCCCCGTCTTGGAAGATTTAAAGGTTTCCGTAGCTAGAAATGATCCAATGCTCTATCGGGTGCGCTCTCGGTCGGTGAAGAAGCTCGACTTTGCACGATATGTTGCTTACGGGGGTTCTGTATTGGGAGCTGAGATTGATGCTCCTCTGCTAGATTATCTGAAGATCCATGATAACGTATCAGATAGCTTTGTTGTCAACAATCTGGAGTCCAATACCAAGTTAGATATGTCTCTTGACTTTAGCTCGGCTTCTTTTCAAGAAGGAAGTGAATCAGCCAGGACAAGTCGCATCCGCAGTTTTGTGCCCGGGATCTCAAAGCTCAGGGATATGACGGCAGATGCTGGCACTTTCAAGGTACCTATAAATATATATATATGTACACTTTCTATAATTGAAAAGTTTCTAAAACCACAAATACTTTCTGTTTGGTTTCAGGTCATTCATGACTATTCCATATTAGAACCGCTGCCTCAGTTTCGTTCCTTGTCCCGCCTGCATGCTACACTCTGTGTATCCGATGTGAATTGGTTACCAACCTTTCTTGAGAGCTGCCCAAACTTGAAATCTCTTATCCTGGTGGTGATGATCTGCTCAACCCTATTACTTTTTTTTTTTCATCTATGTGAAGATTCTGTCTATCTCCTCATCTGTTGTTAATCCTCTGCTTTTTTTTTTTCCCCGCAGGCATTGAATAATTATGAGGAATTCGAGGAGATGATTCAGTTCAGTTGTTCATCTGTTCCCGAATGTCTGTTATCGTCGCTCGAGTTTGTTGATTTCAATATCCAAATCCTGGGATATGCTGCAGAAATGGAGCTGGCAAAGTACTTCCTAGAGAATTCAACAATCCTCAAGAAACTCACTCTACATGTGAACCATGGTTCGATAGACTCTGACATCTCCAACGACCTCCTCAGAGTCCCAAGACGCTCCGCCACGTGTGAAGTAGTCGTCATCTGATTGGGTAAAGTGTAGAGAGAACATGTGAAGAAGATTGTCTTTTGTTTAACCAATTCAGTGTAGTGTAGGAAAGCTCTCTTGCCACACAAGAAATTGCAAGGTTTAAGCCCTTTTGTTTGTTTCTTTGTAGTAGAGATTAAAACTTTTAAGTACAAGCTCGTCTCAATGACTGCGTTTAACTACATTGTTAGAGATGGATTTTGTACCCCCTCAAATCCCTACATCAATTGAAATAGGTTTATTCCAAAACCCTAAAAAATATTTAGGTCGGCAAGATAAATGGAAATCTTCTATTTATCTGATCAAGTTTCGGAGAAAACGCAAGGTCGGTCTTTTCCTATTTCAACAGGAGAAGGTATTTTTAGAAGACCGACTTTGTCGGGCTATAAATAAAGAAGTCATTCACTTCTCAGAATATCTTCTAATCATCCAAGAATCTCTACACTTGGAGAAAACCTTATTCTCTCTAGATTTCATCTATCTAACTCTCTTATTATGAACTACAATTGGCTTGATCCCTTCAAAAAGGTACGTAGGCAGTCTTTCTCAAGGTTCAGCTGTTTCTTAATAAACATCCAAAAATCATCAATCAAGACCTAGAGCAAACTAAGCGATCAAATTGTTCTAGCTTTTGGTTAAACTTACCTAAAAAGTTTTAGGTCGGCGTTTTTATTCCAACGACCTAAACACCGTTGTATTTTACCAAGCTCCGACTTCTTCTAATCAAAAATCTCTCTTTTAAATCCTCAAACCCTAGTTCTTCTATAAGTCGAACTTGAGTTTTTACATACATGCTGTGCCTGTTGGAACGAGGTTATCCTTGTCCACTTTTAACATGAATATTTTGAAATCGTGCAAACACAAAAGTTGGACTGAATCAAAGCTGGCCTAAAGCAATCAAATCAAAATCTGTTAAAACAATCGTTTACCAATCTCAATTGCTCGTTACATAACAAAGACAAGAAAAAAAGTTGGAAACAAATAAAACATTACAGTTGGGGGGTTCATGCATTGAATACAAGAACCACCAAAAGCCCCCATGGATAACACTTTTCTGTATAAATCATCATTCTATGAAATACGTCTTGTTGAAAGATTCTCTAGGGTTGCAAGAAACCTCTTTGATCTCGCAATTAAGCTCCACCTCCATTAGTCGGTGGTTCTCCTTGAACCGGCTCATTACCAAACCAAGATTCAGATTATCACCTTCCTCCACATCTAAAAGATAATGAAATTGCAGCTACCTAGTAATAATAGTAATAAGGTAAATAACTTGCTTTTAAGAAAACTGAAATTAGAAAGGAGCAATTGAAACCTCCATTTTAGCTGGGAGAGTAGTCCAGCAAAACGCTATGGTCGCCGGCGCCGGGAACTCCGCAGCCACCGTGAATTCCGTTGCAATCGAAACTCCTGCACTGAATTCCAAAAAACGGAAATTCGACAGAAACCCAACAAATGTACCCGACAAACTCCGTCTGAACGAGCCACTGTTTCGCCGCCTCATTTCCGCCGCCGCTGTGGCACGCTCCTTTCTCCAAACCAACGATCTCTTCCTCCCTCCATCCCAATCTCTCCGCCTCGAATCCCTCCTCTCATCTCTCGCAATCACGCCTTCACCCTCCATCGCCACGTGGTTCCACCGCTTCTCAACCTCCGCCGCAGAAAACGACGATCCTCGCTGGTATCTTTGCTTCCGAATGTCGAAACCCACTTTCTTCCGACTCCGCTCCATCCTTTCCTCCTCCGATTCTCCTCCGCTTCCTTCACACTCACTCGCGGCTACAATCTTCCGTCTGGCTCACAACGCTTCCTACAAATCTCTCCTTCTCCGATTCGGGTTCGATTCCGTTCCCGACGCTTCCCGAACTTTCTTCGCCGTCTGTAAGCTCATCAACGAGAAATTAGGGAAACTCGATGACCCCAAACCTGATTATTCGCCTCGACTGCTCCCGAATTGCTGCGGTGTGTTAGGATTCGGGAGATTCGAGGTAGATGGGAAGCTTCTCGGGTCAAAAGGGTCACTGATTGTTCAAGCATTGGTTGATTCCAATGGCAGATTCTCAGATGTCTCAGCTGGTTGGCCAAGCACGATGAAACCAGAAGCCATTTTCCGGCAAACTATGCTTTTCTCGATCGCTGAAGAAACGGAACCGGAGGAATCGAGAAGCTTCTTGAATGGAGCTCCGTGCAAACTTGGAGACGGAGGAACATCGGTGCCTCCTTACGTTCTTGGAGATTCCTCTCTTCCGTTACTGCCATGGCTTGTGACTCCTTATAATCTGTCTTGTGCAAACGAGGAAGAGGACAGTTTGGAGTCGTCTCGTAGAGAATTCAACAGTGTGGTTCACACTGCATTGCGTGATGTTGCGACTGCGTTTGCCAAGGTTCGAGCTCGGTGGCGAAATCTTGATCGGAAATGGAAGCCGGAGACGATCGAGTTTCTGCCGTTCCTCGTAACTACAGGTTGCTTGTTGCATAATTTTCTTGTGAATTCTGGGGATGATGAACTACCGGAGGGTTGGGTGAATGGTGTTGTTGCTGGTGATAATGGTGAGACGTGGAAAGATAAAGACGATGAGGAGGAGATGAGGCGGTATGAAGGAGAAGCATATGTTGGGTCGAAAAAAATCAGAGATGCTATTGCAGAGAATCTGAGCCGTGTGAGTTCAAACTAAGATGAATTGAAAGTTGCAAGCTTTTCGTTTTTGTTTAGCTTGATAGAACCAAAATTTGCCAATTTTCTTTTCTAGGCTTTAACAATACGGATCTAGTTTCATGATCGTCTTCGTGTCTGTGTGATTGTTAATAGTTTTTCATCATCTTGTGTATCTTTCTTTCCTTGGTCAAGTGAGTCTTTGTGCCACCTTTCTGATATCGCAATTGCTTGCAAGAACCAATTTTGGGAATTCTGATTCATAAGACTAAAATTTCACAATCATCTGTAGAATTCTAATTTTTTCAAAAATCTGAGACACTATGTGAATGATGGTTTTTCAAAAATCTGAAACCTATAACCTGTAGAATTTATAGGTTTTCACTATCATGATTGGTGACTGTCTATGTGAATGCTGTAGAGCTGCAGCGACAGCTTTGTCCAAGAGACAAGCTTCACGTTTTCAGATTTCTCTAAAAATCACTTTTAACATGAATATTTTGAAATCGTGCAAACACAAAAGTTGGACGGAATCAAAGCTGGCCTAAAGCAATCAATCAAAATTTGTTAAAACAATCGTTTTCTGTTTACCAATCTCAATTGCTCGTTACACAACAAAGACAAACCAAAAAAGAGTTGGAAACAAATAAAACATTACAGTTGGGTGTTCATGCATTGAATACAAGAACCACCAAAAGCCCCCATGGATAAGAGCTCATCACAACACTTTTTCTGTATAAATCATCATTCTATGAAATACGTCTTCTTAAAAGATTCTCTAGGGTTGCCAGAAACCTCTTTGATCTCACAACTAAGCTCCACCTCCATTAGTCGGTGGTTCTCCTTGGACCGGCTCATCACCAAACCAAGATTCAGATTGTCACCTTCCTCCACATTTATAGGACTAGACATTATGAAAACCTGCCACATAACAAGTCTTTCAGTTCTATTTACTTCTTTAAAAGAAGCCACAAGCTTTAGGATCTCAAAGAAAAGTCTTATGATTAAGAGAGTACGAACCTGTTGTCCCCAATGTGTGCAGTGCTGTTCACTTGGAGCTGTGGTCAACTCGATTTCTTGCTGTGCGGGATCTTCTTTTCTCCCCTAAGTTACCAAAGAAACAACAACAACAAAGTATAAGAGTTTCTTCTAACATAGACACAACATGATAATGCAAAAACCAAGGATCTGTATATGATTGAACTAACCCGGAACTGAACATCAAACCATCCACCAAAACCACATAGCCTCGTGTGCTCCACATTGATCACTGACGATACATTCGATCTCACTTCCTCGATTTCGCTTACAGTAGCTGTCAAACAATCCATCTCTTTGACAATCATAGGTGTGCCTATGATTTGTTGTGGATTCAAGTCATTCCACATAGCCGTCTGCGAAAGAAAGAAAGAAGAGTTTATCAATGACAAATCTTATGAATTTTTCCACTCCTTGTAATCTAAAAGATAAATCAAATTGCAGCAAAAAGGTATTACAAAGTCACCTGTATGTAAAACTTTTCTTGTTCTTCAGCAAAAGGTTTTGTTAAGACGCCCATATCAACGCCGTAGTAACTTTTGATCTCATCTGAAAAGTTATGCCAATCCGCCATTGCCCCATCGAAATCATTCTTCTTCCGATCAGACATATTAGATTTGATGGGTGCAAGCCACATGCGAGCATGACTTGGGTACCTATTCCATATTTCAAAAGCTTATTTTTTAGTCTACGCACAGTACCAACATCAAACCAACATGACCTCACAACTTATTCAAGAATACTTTTTTTTTTTGGTCGAAATTCAAGAATACTTTCTATAACTGGCATTGTAGGAAACTATTTTAACAGTATAGTTACACAAGGCTACTAAGTAATCATCAAGCATCTTTCAAGTAAGTAAGTAACAGAGATCTACTTACATGACACCCGTTGGCTTTAACCATCTGTCACGAGCGCATATCACAGAATCAAACATGGACTCTCGCAGAAGGAAGTATCCCATCCACTCCGAGATAATTACATCAACTGCACATTAAAATTAATATATGTATATACATGTATTAGCTTAATGTCTGAGTAGCAACTAAAATTATCATAAGTAACATGTTCTGACACTTTAAAACCAATAACAATAATAATAATAGTACTTTTAGATACCCAAAACTCAAAAACAATACCTTTCTCTGGTAATGAGATATCTTCAACAGATCCTTGAATGACTTCAACAATATGTTCAAGGTTATTGGCTTTGACAAGAGCACGAGCATGATCAGCCATTGTAGTAGCTTCCACAGCATAAACCTTCCTCGCACCAGCTTGAGCTGACCAAATCGCAAGAATCCCACTTCCTGTTCCAACGTCCAAGACCGTCTTTCATAACATTACCAAAACAAAAAAAAACAAAATTAGCCAAATTTAACACAACATACAGAGACCAGTGATAAGACATATAGAAAGTAAAGTGGTGGAGATCTGAGATTTCCGTTTTACCTTGCCGGCGAAGTGATTCTTGTTCTCGAAGACGGCATTGAAGTAAGCGTCCATACGGACACGATCGGAGAGCATGTCTTTCTGGTGGTAGAGGAAAGAGTATGTGCAGAAGTATTGAGCGTAATCAACTTCTTTGTCAACAGGAGCTGATCCTCCTCCGGCACCGCCGGGTCCGGCAGCACGTCCGCCCATTCCGCCGCCGTTGTAGGAGCTCCTCATTGATTGCTGCGTTTGTGTGAAGAAGCGATTTGGGTTTTGAATTATTAGGGCAAACTGCTTTATTTAAGTCGGCGGGCTTTGGTCTTTAGGGGTTTTGGTTAACACTTGCCACGTCACTGTTGTCTTTTTTCTCTTTCTCAAGCTACGTCACCGTTGTCTAATTATTAATTTCTTTTAAATCATTCGATTGGACTAAATCCACCAACGAGGAGACTCAAGGAAGACTGTTTACGACTGATTAATCACGCATCAGAGAGTAATGGGCTCTTTTGGGCTTCGTATTGAATCTTTAGTTTTTAATTAGTACATATTTTGGAGTTTTTTATTTCTTTTACCCCAAATCAACCAATTAATGGAGAGAGGAATTGTGAAATCGGTATAGGTTATTTAAAAAAAATTAATACTGTATTTTAATTTTAAGATTTTTATACAGAAAAACCTCTATTTATACTGTAAAAATCTCTAGATATTATTATTACTTCATAGATTAATTAAATTTATTTATAACTTGTAAGAACAAATTGGGCTCACAAGTTATAAATAAATTTAATAAATTATGGGCTTCAAAGGGTAGATAAGTTTTCTTAACGGTCCAACAAAATATCATATTGGGCTCACTGATATTGACATGATGATAATAATACAAGCTATGTTGGCATTTCTTGCGGGAGGGCTCACACGCACTGTATATAGGTCCATGCGTATTTTATTGCCCGCTATTATAAAAAGGAAATTAACAATATAAAAACATTTGCGATTTTTTAACTTTCCTACCTTAAATAAAAAGATAAGAAACCTGTGTAGCATTTCATTAAAAAAGGGTGAACTGCCACAATCAGCTACTTTTTGGGGGTTAATTAACCAACCATATAATCAAAATCCTTTAGTGAACCATTCGTTTCCCAGCCACGACGTCGACGATAATCCACCCTACGATTACTTGGACGGTTGACAAGCTTTTAATATTATTCCCAGGTTAATTAATTTCACTCTCAACATAATTTAATCCATTTAATTATTTATAATTATACAGCACCACATGAGCTCCCTGTCCGCATGCATGATCATGCATAGTTCCACATTTACGGTCTATATACATTTGACCTCTTCAATTATAGTTTCGTTTTTTTCTTTCATTATAAATTATTAAGCCAAATTGAAAGAGAGAAGAAAAGCCGTCCATGCGTTTGCTTATATCCAACTTTTATTATCAAGTTATATAAGTTGTAAATTATGCTTTTTTTTGTAATATAAGACCGAATCGAAAGAAAGGTAAAATTTAATTATAAGAAGTGTGCGTAATTGCGTATGAATTAGCTGAAAAAAGATAATCACTATTTCGAAACTAGAACTTTTATTCGCACGTGTTCCTTATTCACCTAACTACAACTACAAGTCTAGAAAGTACAAACACCACCCACCATCACACGATTTTTTTTGTGACCATAAGAAACCATTTTATGTTATGTACTCAGCTTGGCTTAGTAAAAGAATAATTTTTATTATTCCAACATGAAAAATCCCAATAGTTCATAAACAGCTTGGTTTAATTAAGATACAGTATCTGCATTTACCGAACATGAAAAATCTTAGTAGTTCTATATTGTCCTGTTATTATATGAATTGTTTGTTGGTATACGGTATACCATATCAGACTATTATTCTGGGTATTTAAAGAGGTTAACGTTTGCACACACAAAAAAAAAAGAGGAGAGGAGTTAATTAGTTTTATTTTTTGGATGCTTTAAGAAAATGCTCATTAAGATGCCAAAACCCACGAAGATTCTTTTCGGATACTATTATCGTTTCATTAAAAAAGCGTCAAAAATCAAAATATACTTAGCTTAATTTGGCATGATATTGCTAAATGCTAAGTGCACCAAATTTCGTAAACTAGTAATACAAAAAGCAGTATAAAAAATGAAAATAACTTTTAGTAGAAGAATCGTATGGTGATAACTCACAACAAACTCCCTATAAGTGTTGTTAGTCTGAAAGAAAAGTGTATTAATCCCGGAAAAGGTAAGGTTATTGTTGTATAAACGCGACAAAAATAAGTTTTTATTTTATTTTAAAAAGAGTAATTTTAATTAAAAGCAACAAAAAGTAAAATGAAATAATAAATAATCATTTAGTGAAAAAGGTTGAAAAACAAAAGGAGAGGAGAAGAGGCAGTGGGAGAGAGATTTGAGAGAAGAAGCATGTGGAAAAAGTGGAGCTTTTGATATCTCCTCTCCTCCGTTCTTTAGTTTTCCCACGAGAGATTTCGCCGGCGATGGCGGTGGAATCCTTAGCGACGGAGATGGACACGGCGGTGCGTGTTGTGCACCTCGCCTCTTCTCTCTGTGTTAAAGTTCAGGAGAAGCTTCGTCTTCCTTCCTCCACTAACGGCGGTCACGTTAAGTCCAAGGATGATGATTCCCCTGTCACCGTCGCAGGTCTTTTCTCTCCCCTCCGTCACAGATTTCTCTAATCTTCTTTTCTCTATTTTTGGGATTATACGTTCGATTTTGGGTTTTGTTTTTTCTGGAATTCGAGCTGTGGTTAATGGCAATTCGAGATCTGTTTGGGTTCTTGTGATATTTGCGGAAGCAATTTCATTTGCTTATCATTAACACAATTTGAGCTGAAACGAAAAAAACCATAGTTACTTGTGTCCTTTGTACATTGAAACATGAAACAGAATGTTCACGAAATCCAGAGTTTATGTTGAAATTCATGCTGTTTATTGCTAATTTGTTTTACTTTATTGAGCTATATTGGTTTTTTTTTTTTTTAAGGGGAATGAAATGTTAATCAGGCTGAACAAATCATTGTCTGTATTAGTAGTTTAATAGTGTGACACTATCGAATTTTGTATTTTTTATTGAATTCTCTGTGTCCATTGTTGCTTAGAATCGTTTCCTGCAACCCACATTGCCAAATTTCATCTCCTTTTATGTGTTTTAGTGTGATCATTTCAGAAATGTTAGTAAGTTCTGTGAGGAGTCTGCATTGATGAGATTGATACTAGAGACATCATACTGTGATTGTATTAAATATTGGTGCTCTATTTAGTTTCATTTATAGGATCTAAGTGATCTTGACTTTGCTGTTCAACAGATTGGGGTGTTCAAGCGATCGTGAGCTGGGTTTTAGCTGAAGTTTTTGGTGGTCAAAGCCTCTCCATCGTCGCCGAAGAAGACACAGAGTCCCTCTCCAAGGCTGAGTCATTAGGTCTTTTAGGAGCTGTCTCCAACGCGGTGAACGAAGCTTTATCCGAAGCTCCCAAATACGGGCTTCCTAAGCCAGATAAGCCCTTGGGATCAACGGAGATCCTCGAGGCTATAGGTCGATGCAACTCCGTTGGAGGTCCTAAAGGAAGGCACTGGGTTCTTGATCCCGTCGACGGAACGTTAGGGTTCGTCCGTGGTGATCAGTACGCTGTTGCTTTGGCTCTTATAGAGAACGGTAAAGTCCTGTTGGGTGTACTAGGATGTCCTAACTATCCTCTCAAGAAAGAGTGCCTAAGCAACGGTTGCAACCAAACCACGACGAGTAAACCCGCGGCTGGATCAGTGTTGAAAGGGTGTGTCATGTATGCAAAGAGAGGAACCGGTCAAGCGTGGATGCAGCCGTTGGTCGCTGGAGGAATCTCGGAATCAGCAGCAACGCTCCTTAAGGTTTCATCAGTCGATGATCCGGCTTTAGCTACGGTTTGTGAGCCAGTAGAGAGAGCAAACTCGAACCACTTGTTCACTGCAGGACTTGCCAATAGCATGGGAGTTAGGTAACTTCATACTCACTTCACTCACGTTCTTGAAAAGTCTTTTGTCTCATATGTTAAGATCTTTTTTGTTCATTCCTCTTCTGCAGGAAACAGCCGATGAGAGTGTATAGCATGGTGAAATACGCAGCGATCGCGCGAGGAGACGCAGAAGTGTTTATGAAGTTTGCGCAGTCGAGTTACAAGGAGAAGATATGGGACCACGCGGCTGGAGTGGTGATAGTGGAAGAAGCAGGTGGTGTGGTGACTGATGCGGGAGGGAGAGACTTAGACTTCTCGAAAGGAGTCTACTTGGAAGGTCTTGACCGAGGGATCATAGCTTGTTCCGGTCAGGTTTTGCATGAGAAGATCATTGGTGCGGTTTATGCAAGTTGGGAATCTTCCAGCCTCTGACAAAAGGCTTTAGCCACGATCCTCGGTTTGGTCTAGTAGCATCGTCGAGCCAACGGTTTTATAGCAAAGGTAAAGAGAGAATGAATGAATTGTTTTTAGTTTTGAAAATTGTAGATGATTCGGTTTTCAGAATTAACGGTTTTAATCGGTTTATTTGTTTTTTTCGGTTTGGATTTAGGTCGGGGGAATAAGGACCACTTTGGTAAACTACGATTTACTATGGGGATGAATGTGAAATCGTGGAGAAGTAAATAGTAAAAGGAAGCAGCGGTAAAAGTAAGAATCTATTTATCTATCTCTTCTATAGTAATAAAAGCTGCTCTATTCACGTACCTCTTTTATGCCCTTAGTGGATGATATAAATTTTTGTTTAGCTTCGTACTGTAATTTCTTACCCTGCAAAACACGATACTGCATAAACCTTTTTTTTTAAGACAAAACGATAAAAAGTAGTTTTTCTTTAAGAAACACGTTGTTATGAGATAATTCAGTAGATCTCCTCACTAAATAACATCATGATATTTTAATGGCGGATGATGGATGAATAATGGGTGTATATAATAGGATCAGCCTGCAAAATCCAAGATGGTAATGGTCTGATTTTGGGTTAATAAATTGTATTTATTGGGCCGGCCCGATCGGTTATTGCAATAGTATCAGATTTTCTTAATGGTAATTTTTTCATGCTAATTTGCTTTTGTTTCATCATCGATCTTTTCGAAGGAACTTTTCCTCTATTTTATTCATTTTTACTTGTATGAAAAATACATAAAAACCAGACCGGAGTAAAATGCCTCGAACTCGGTTTAGCCGACATGTTTGGCAGCACTCTAAGAGAAGTAGCTTTTAGTTGCTAATTGTATGCAGTAAGTCTAAAGATCAAAAGTAAAGTTGGATTCTGCCGACAATTGCTTGGATTTGATGCTGTTTAGAAGATTTTTCCTCTTTAAATCTATCAAAATCCAACCTTCAATAAGCTTTTCTCACACATTTATTGAAGAAATTTATCATTATTAGGAACAATTCTGTCTTCATCTTTGTAAGTACATAATTACTAATAATTCAATTCTACTACTAATAGAAGAGGGCCAAAGTGTCAGTAATGATGCATGAAATGGTTAGTTGATAAACATCTCTTTCTGATGAATTCAATTCTTCGTTTTATTATTTCTTAAATTTTTATTTTGTTGAATAACAATAATAATAATACGTAGCTAGAGTTGTATAATGTTATAAAAGATTAGCTACAGTAACAATTGGTAAGAAAAGTATCACAAAGAATCAAATGACATAGAATATTCTGATGTAGAGTTTACCTATAATGTTTATATTTTACTTGACCAAAAAAAAGAGGGAGTAAACTTTCATATTGCCGAATTATTTATCTTCCGTTTTTAAAGTTAAGATATCCAAAATACCCGTTTGTATAAAACAATTACAAATTGGTCTCAATCTAAAAATATAGATAAAGATTTTGGAAATTTGCGATTGTAAAAACGTATATCCCTTGCCGAGGAAACCATGATAATGAATATTATTATCATATTAATTAATTATTTTAAAACATTTGACGTATCTCGCCAGTTACATGTTCAACTGATAATATATAAAACTATGACATGTGTCTTCCCAAAATTTGGAACATCCTAGTAACACATGTTAACCTTCATCTCAAATGAAAGCATAATATTTAAATTCACGATTTTGATCATTATTTTCTAATTATACAAACCATACTTAAATTATCAGAGAAACCTTTTCATCAATAACTTTGATATTTCTTCCATGTATACGTATATCACCGATTACTATCATTAATCGGAGTACTAACAAACTGTGAAAAACGATAGGTTTTACAGACGATTTTTCAACATCCAATTACAAAAGCTAGAATCGCAAAATGAATTAAAATATATATATTTGTTAATATATTAAGAAAGTAAAAACAAAAAAAAAATGATAATAAATTCCATGTGCCCAAGCAAGGGTCGGAGTCAGCTTCCGACATATATGAAAGACCTTAGCATGTGCCTACTTCTCCGTTCACTAGCACCACAAAATTCAACTCTTCTCTTTCCTTTTTTGTTACTTTCTTGGTATCTAATATCATGGACATGGAGATTCATCGAAGTTAAATCACATAGATAATAAATTTGTGTGATATTTGGAAGTGTTACAGTGATATTTAGGTGAAAACTGTCCATTATAAAATTATATACGTATTTAATGCACCTACCTAGATTCATATAATAGTTCATCTTGTTTAATAAAAAAAATTAATACAAATAATACCCAAAGTCCAAAGAGTTTTCTTGCTAGAAAATAGAAAGACAATAAAAAAACAGGCTTGAGATCTATACCAATTTTTAAACCAATTTTTAGCTATAGTAGAATCATATATTTAACTAATTCGTGGTTTGTTTTTGTCCACAATATATTATTTTCGATTTTTAATTGATAACAAATGAATTTTAATCTGCTTATATTGAATTTGAACATATATAGAAGTAAAAAATTGTAAGGGAATGGAGTAACCGAACAGTGACAAGTTTGTCATATGAATAAAAAAATGAATATTAGCGAATAAGGATGAAGCAGGTCAAGGTTGAAAGATTTTTTTTAATGAATTAGAGTAAAGAACTTTGTAGCTAATCCATGATAATCATCATGACTCATGTGAGTCATGATTAAGAACAAAGTTTGAATCTTTTTTAAAACGACAGAACAACAAGGAAACGAGTGTTAATTAGTGATAACTCACCAAACAAAACAAACAAGTTAAATTTCAAAATTTAAAATTTAAAATTTGTAGGAAAAAAAAAGAACAGAAAGAAATAAAAACATGAAAGTGTGCTCACTCACCGAACAAACAGCCTAAATTTAGATAAAATGCCATTAATGATGAAATAAAACGAAATTAATTTAGGGACGTTTACACATTCAAAAAATACGAAACAGTCATCTTACCTTTGTGTTTGACTGTTGAATATAAAAAACAAATACATACATTATGTAAGTATACGTGTGTTACTGTGAATGTTATGCAAATATGCATGACACTATATATGACTGTTATAAATAGCAGCTCCCTCGAAATGTGTATGTATGTATACATTTTTTCCTCAGATAGAAAGAAAGCTTAACAGTGATTGTTCTGTGAAAATTAAACTGACGGTTTGGATTCTGTCAGAGAAAGGATTCCCTCTCTTTTGCTCTTTCTCGTGTTTCATCGATCTTTGAACCGATTTTTTTTCTTTGTAACCGTCTCTGTTTCTTCTTCAAAAGTTTGATTTTCTCGGAAAACTTCAAATCGTAGAAAATTGCTTAGTGGAGAATCTAATGGGGAAGACGAGTGGGACGAGAGATTGGGCTCAGATCTACGCGATTTACGGGATCGAGCAGAAACACACTCTCTTCTTCCTCCTCCTCAACGCGATTGCTTTCTCCGTACTCTCCACCGTTTTTTTCCTCTACTTCGACCCGATCTGCGTCTTCGTCGAGTCGTTCCTCTTCTCCAGCTCCTCCGCTGCTAGATTCTCCGCCGGATTCTTCGGAGCCGTGACGGCACTCTCCGCCGTGTGTTTGTTCTTCGCGGCGGCGAATTTTTTCTACTCCGCCGTGCCGCTCCGGTACAAGATGGCGCAGAGGATGGTTGGATCCGTGGGAGATTGGTCGAACGTGAAGACGGCGCTCGATCTCGGCTGCGGTCGAGGGATTCTGCTGAATGCGGTGGCGACGCAGCTGAAGAAAACCGGTAGTTCGGGTCGGGTCGTCGGGTTAGACCGTTCCATGAGCACTACTCTCTCCACTCTCCGTACCGCTCACATCGAAGGTTCGTGAGTTTTCGTTTTTCGCTTTGACTCGTTGACTCCGTTTCAAAGTCGTTTTTTTCTCGTTGACCAAAATATTAGTTTGTAGACTGAAGACTATATAGTAGTACTGCGTGATTAACGGTTTTCAAGTAATTAAGTATGCATGATTTTTATAATTTGTTAATAACAGATTTATCTAGTGCAAACTTGAATTACTTACACAAGCAATGGTAATTTACTAATTTTATTAGAATCGAGCTTTTCAAAATGAAAATTAATTTTTTTTTGTAGACATACTAGTTATACATATACTAATATACATGTCATTATCTTGTAAATAGTTTTTAAAAAAAATAGAGTATGGAAGTTCAAAAAAAAAAAATTAAGAGTATGCAGTATCTGTCTCGATCTCGATTATGATCTATATAGTTTCAATACATATACTATTATTTTTTGTTCTTCTTGTCATTTTCGTACAAATTTTTGTGATGTCATTTATTTATTAGTTACTTATTAGTGAATTAAAACGTATTTAATTAATCAGTAAATTGATCAACCTATGTTGTGGAAAATATAAATGTAGGAGTGCAAGAGTACGTGACTTGCCGTGAAGGAGACGTAAGACGGCTTCCTTTCAGTGACAACTACTTTGACGTGGTGGTTTCCGCCGTGTTCCTCCACACCGTCGGGAAAGAATACGGCCAGAAGACTGTGGAGGCTGCGGCGGAGAGGACGAGAGTGCTTGGGGAAGTGGTCAGAGTGCTGAAACCCGGCGGCATAGGAGTGGTGTGGGACCTTGTGCACGTGCCGGAGTACGCGAGGCGGTTACAGGAGCTGAGGATGGAGGAGATTAGGGTTTCAAAGCGAGTCACTGCGTTTATGGTCAAAAGCCATATCGTCTCGTTTAAAAAGCCTCCTAGTCAGCATTTTGTGGGCCCTGGAGAAGTGCGTTTAGACTGGAGATGATGACTAACGTGGAATAAAGGAAAAAAATCTAATTTCATAGCGAACAAACTATATAAAAGATGTTCTTTCGAGAGATAGAGAAGGTAATATAGATACTTCTATGTATTTACGGAGAGCATTTTTTGTTGTTTTATTAACTCGATCGGTCTTATCATATTGATATCAAAGAGGTCATTTTTCAGAAGTTTGATTATGTTTAGGATTATGCAAGTTAAACTAGCGGCAAACGATTCAGATTAAAAATTCTGTTCAAACATTATATCTACGCTAAAACATTTTGATGCAAAATTAGTCAGACTTTGATTGAAATAGTTTTGACTATCAGATTTTCGCAATAAAAAAATACAAATTCTTTGTTAAGCGAAAATACACCAATTTGTGTTGACCGAGCCATTTTAGATGTATATCGATAGTTAGCTTAACTATAATTAATATAAATGCTTGATTGGAGCTTGTCAAAATATAAATATATAGCAATTTTGAGTTTTTTGTCAAATAGTTGATTCGATATATAATAGCTTGGTCAACATAAGTTGATGTATTTTTTTGCTTAACATAGAGTCTGTTCTAGTTTTGACAAAACCCGATAGTTCAGTATTTTAATGAACATTTTCTTAAAACATTTTTGAAAAATTGCTCAAATATTTTAATGTTAGGTATTATACCAACAATACTAGAACTTAGGTGAATCAGTCCCAGATACGTATTAATTTTTGTGAATATTATAATACAATTTTTAGCTTAATTCTTAATTTCATGGATTTTCAATTTTTTTTTTGTCTCACTTTACGTTAAGAATTCGTTTTCTCCCTTGCATCCACTCATGTCTTTTTGACCGAACTTCAGTAGTTCATGTGAGTTATGGTCATAGCCGCTTCTTGACACTTTTATAAGCTTATCCAAAAGGAGCCAAAAATTATCTATTTGCTTAATCTTTAAAACTAGACCACCTTTTTAAAAACTAACCATAATATGTATTTGTTCTTGTAATTTGCATATATGACTATCGATGAAAAAAAAATTCAAAATCAGTATGTGATAAAAACTAACCATAATATGTATTTGTTCTTGTAACTTGCATATATGACTATTGATGAAAAAAACTTCAAAATCAGTCTGTGATAATACTTTGCTATCATAAATAGAGAATGTATGATACATTCTATTTATACCTAAAATACGTTTGATATTATGCGAGCCAACTTAGGAAATTAACAATGCTAATATGTTATTCAACTGTACAAAAGCTGGCAATTAATTATGTGGAAGCCTTTTTGTTTGATTAAAAATGAAGTGATAGTTAGTTAGTTCATAGAATATAGTGTCAAATATAGTGTCTGTGTCACTATCAAATTATTGGTTCTCATTTAATTAATCAAGTTACTAGTAATACACTTCTGATTTGATATTTTCACATTTCTGATCTTTTTAGTATTACGATTTATATTTTATATATTACCTGGTTCTACTTAATTTTTAGTATTTAAAGTTTAAATAATTAAACACGTAATCAATAGTGTTTTGGTGGAAATAGAGCTAAAAAGGAATTGATTAACTTCAAATCCAAAAGAAAAATAAAACTACTAAAATATAGAAAATGCTGCATCAGAACCCATATTGAGAAAGAGTTATGGTTCACTATGGTATAATGGGCGCCCCCTCGTTTTACCATAGTGTGGCTTTTGACATTTTTTTTTTGAGATCTCTGCTACTTTTTTCAGGTTCAGCTAACATTAGGTAGACGTCTTCTCAATCGTGCAATTTCTTCATAGCATGAAGAAAGTCAACATCTCTTGCCACGAGCAACATGTACTTCTTCTCTTGATTCTCAAGTGATAGCGATTTTAGGTGCATTGCCATAATGACGTCGAAATCAGCAGGGTCAGTTTTTCTAATAGTTTGTTCATCGATATTATCTGGATGATCTGCAACTGTATCAGTACAAACATCACACACTAGGATTACTTATGCGATATTTTTTAGTTGGATTTCTTTAACCATGCGAATTGCATCATGCACCACCCGATGAGCTGGTCTGAAACTAATATCTCTCCAATAGTGAAATGATCATTGTGCTTCTTTAGAGCTTTTTTGAATATTGCATTTGAGAGTCTCAAGTTTATATCCTAAAGGAAGCGGAGCATTCTCTGGACATCCTACATAACAGTAACCAGAATATTATATGAACCCGAGAAACCAGCCATGGTGCTGAAAAGAAGTTCTTAGTTATGAAATACTAATTGAGAAATCGATCTTCGACAAAGCTTTTGGCTATGGTGATTTGTGAAGGTATTGATGTCCCGACAAAGCTTTTGGTTATGGTGATCCGTGAAGGTGTTGACGTCTGGACTAAGCTTTTTGGTTGTGGTGATCCGTGAAGGTACTAAGGCACCAAAAAACACAAATCTTCTTATTTTTTCTTATTTTTTTTCTTCTGTATTTTTTATCCACTAAACATATTTAAAACTATTTTTCTATCTTTTTCCTTATAAATAGTTTTGATTGTTACTATTTTCTTTTACCTTATATTATGTTTGCATTTGCAGGCCAAATTCTCAACCTAACGTAGTAAATATATCAAACAAAAGATTTCAAAAGCTCTGCAATTCGCTAGAGACAAAAGTATTGAAAAGTTTACAATTGCTATGGATTTGGCTCAGTTGGTAGATTTGAAAACCAGCGACTACAGCTTAAAGAATTCTAGGGCCTTGTCCAAGATATCTATGTGATTTTGCTTAATTTCCTAAAAAACTTATTTAGAAAAATCTCGAGATTAGAAAATTTAGTACCGCTAAATCCATTCTCTCCAATCTGTCGATTGAGATACTTTTAATGTTACCCATGTTTTATTATAAAAGTTACCCCTTCCGACCAAAAAAAAAACGACTGGTTATACGTATATCTTATTTCATACTTTTAAGGTAACGTCTAATTTTCTTTTTGTTTTTCGAGTAAATCGAAAACACACTATAAGTTATAGTATAATCTATAACACAAAATCTTCCATAAATATTTTTACAATAAACATCTCGTTGATCACCAAGTACCAACTCATTAATCCGCATATACTAAATTCTCTAACATTCCTATTATCGCAGACGAACAAAGGAAAAAACATACAAACACAAAATATTTCTTCTAGACTCCAGAGTTGAGTGGAAAAGTGTTTAAAAGTAAAGCACCACTTTTTTTTTAATTTACTTGATAGGGACGCAATAGGAAGAACAGAGAAGTGGAGGCAAGACGCAGACTAAGTGAGGACCCGGTGGATTGCTGCTTACGTTTGCTTCTTCCACGTTTGGCAAACCTAGCTGAGGAGGTCGCACATATCCCGCCACTAATGGCACACACAGTATCGATATTACTACTCTTGAACCTGTGTCAATATTTATAAACCACCCAAGAAAAGAAAACCAAACATACAGTATCATCATCATCATCATTTGTATGCTTTTCTTGCAACCAAAACAAGAAGTGAGAAGAAGAATACAAATGGCCTCTTTACCTTGCTCCTCTGAGAGAGAGACATAGCCTCTCTTCCTACCCGCAATCATCCAGTTCTCTGAGTTTGCATTGACTTCATACAACACCTCATTCTTGTGTGAATAATAAAAACAATCACAATTAATGAACACGCAGATACATTTATAGAAAAAAAAAGCTAACTTTGGTAATGATGAACTGATCGTGGACTAACATGTTGTTGTTGTTCTACAGCTTTGATATCTTTCAGCCTTTCGACTCGCCACTGCATGGTAACAAGTTTCCCGACCCTAAGACCATCAGAAGGAAGCGGGAGAAACCCAACTGTGAGGCAAGGATCAAGCACTGGACGTTGCAAAACAATCGCACTCTTGAAAACCAAATCTCTCCCTTCAGTTTCAGTTTCGGTTTCAGTTCCAGAGTGATTTGCATCTACTGGCTTGTGTGCTCCAGCAGCCCTATCACCATGGATTCCATATTTGATATTCAGAATGCTCTCTTGTAGCTGCAAATCTTTCCCTTTGTTGTGCAAACAATTAGTTAGTTCGCAGTCACTACAGATGTTTCTTTTTTTCTGTTTAAATATGCAAATGCCATTGTATGCTAATAACAGGAAAAGAACAAGTCAGAGTGGATCTTCCTATTCTATGTTACATTATCCTTTGCCAAATCTGTAATATTATGCGCCCTGCTTTGAAATCAGAAATAGCTTCCGAGTTTGCAGATGGCTTTATCAGTTTAAGTGTGTTTCACCAAAAGTAAAATCTAAAGTTAGAAACCGAGTCATATTAACAGTTATTTAGAAGAATGGAAATACCTGAGGACGTTGTCTTGTCAAGGCATATGCTGAACACAACTGCTGCTCTAGATCCTGGAGACACAACAAGCGGAAAGAACGTTGAAGTCGGTCTTCCATCGCTTTGTCCATGAACAAATCCATCTTGAAGATCAAGCCAAGCATCAAGAACTACCAAGTTGGCCTTGACTAGGGAATGTAGCATAACCTGTAAATAGGAACTGTATGATTAATAATAACCTTGAGTAGAAGTGAATCAGAATAAGGGAGCTGAGAATATAGGATAAGATTCCCTTTCTTCATTTTAAAAGAGCTTAAGTTAAGTACCTGCAAGACCAAAGTGCCATCATTGCATTTGTTTGCCACTCTTGTGGTCACGTCAAAAGGGTCGGTAAAATGTGCAGCTATGGTTCTGCTCACATAACAAAACCAGAGGGAAATCTGATGAGGAAAGGAACAGTTTTGGGGACCAAAACCTCTGATGACATGGAAGAAATACAATACCTCTCAAATATCTGGTTATGATGAACCCCAAATTCAAGTTTCAAAGCTACAGTTCTCATTCCCTCTAAAATATCTTGCTTCAGCGGAGTGACTGTCAACGCAAAAAGATAATATGATCACTGGCCAGTAGATGTGACGAGAGACATGTAATACTCAGAAAAATAATATATTGCTGCAAACCTGAAGATGACCCTCTAGGAAGCTTCTCACTCAGTGCACGTACAGGGACCCACAGAATAGAACTCACGTCGCTTGCCCACTCTGAGAACACTATTTTACCATCGCAGAGATTAAGCACCTCCGAATCCCGTTTCGGAGAGACAGGTCTATCTTCTACAGAAATTTCAGTTTTTGGTGCATCAGCATCAGAATCTGCTTCTGTGTATCTTTCCATCTCAATGCCATATGCGTCTTCGATCTTTAGCCCTGGACCAGTATCAATGTGCAAGATGGCGCCTTTCAGAGAGTAATCAATA